TTCCTTGGGAGCCCCCACCTAATGCCCTTCTAACCCCTCCTGGGCTCAGTCACTACCATCTGATGTGCCCATAGGTCCGCTCGCACTGACCTTATGCCCAGATCAGCCTGGGAGATCTGAACTCCAGCCTGGCCGGTAGAATCGGGGCAGCCCCCCTCCCACACTCTCTGGACCTTGCACGTCACTGTCAATCACAATTTGACAGCACAGAAGCTGCTAGAAATCTTCTATTATCATGGCTCTGTCCTCTGTGATGCACACATATACCCACACCTGTGCACACCCCTCACCTCCACAAGCCACCCACTAACTTTCTATTTCACCTCTTCCCCTCAAAGATCTGCTCCCCTACTGACTGCTAATGCCCCACCTCTGTGCCTACGCACACCTCTCCTGCGTGGCCTACATTGCTGCTCCTCAGTCAATCCATTCTTTTCACCTCCCTTCATTCCTGACTTGAAACTCATCTCCTACAGGAAGAACTCTTGGATTGCTCCCCAGCTGCACCCCCCACAGTTGCAGAATTGGATGTAGGCCACTCACAGCAGTTCTATAATGCGTCCCCCAGTGTAAACTCTCTTCTAGGAGAGGGGCTGGGTTTTCATTCTTCTGTCTTCCCCCTTCCCATGCATAGTGCCTGGGCTGTAGTGGGCACAGAGGGATGCTGAGGAGCACCCTGTAAGTGGAGTCACAGCTCACCCGCCTTCTGCCCGGACCCACAGCTGCTCTTCTGAGTCAACATTTCTGAGAGGAGCAAAGAGACCTTGAAAAACTGAGATTGGAGCGTCTCTCTCCAAGTATTAATCACCCCATAAAACTTGTGTTTATTTAGTTGCTCACGGGTCCTTCTTCCTGGAGGTAGGAAGCTGTTATTCTTGGAGATACCAGCTAAGGCTTGGGCCAGGGTGCCCCGAGGAAAGAGGGTGATCTGCTGAACTCTAGCATAACAAGAGGAAGCCTGGAAGGCCTGAAATGGGCTTGCTGGGCCATGCGTGGGCACCAGGGTGGGCCTGGGTTATGGTCAGGGCAGGGAGGGCAGGGATGGGAGTCACAGCCTCTGCCTCCACTCTGTCCAGGGACACAGCCCACCCCTCCATGGCCTAACTTGTGCATCTACTATGTGCCAGGTCCCCCAAGAGCCTCTGGGCTGAGGAACAGATGCAGGCCAGGTGAGGTTTGGAGGGCTTTGGCCACAGGTTCTAGACAGAGGCAGGAGGAGATGGGGCCAAGCCTGGCAGGAAATCTCTAAAGATCAGACACTGGTTTGGGGGACAATCACCCCAGGAAGGACTGGCCCATCCTCAAAGCTGCCAAGACAGAGAGTGACTTTCTTTATAGGAGAGGTAGCAGCTGGAAAGGGAGACCAGGGAAAGCAAGATGAACCAGAAAGGTCTGGGTGGAGGGAGAAAAATACAGATGCAGTGAAGCGGCAGGCAAGGGAGAGAGGGAGAGGCGGGATGTGGGAAGAGAGGCAAGAGGAAGGACATTGACCCTGAAACTGTATAGGGCAGCCGGGAGTATCACAGACAGCAGGCACACCTCAGAAGATCTCTTGGATAGATCGCTCGCTCGCTCTTTTTTCTTTTTTTAACCAAAAAGAAAAAAAAATTAATTTAGGAAGAACAAAAAGAAAAGATATTTTAATCTGTTCATTGAATTTAGGGGCCATAGTCAGTGTTCCAAAATGCCCAGGGATTATGGTGATTTATGGCTATTAATTTAGGAAGAACAAAAAGAAAAGATATTTTAATCTGTTAATTGAATTTAGGGGCCATAGTCAGTGTTCCAAAATGCCCAGGGATTATGGTGATTTATGGCTGGGACAAGAATCAGCTGGGGCCTCAGCCTTATTGGGTGTGCAGAGAGGAGCCTGCTAGGAAATCCAAATGCAACTGGAAATACCACGAGCAGACCCATTTATAGTCACAGACGGGGAGGGGCCACGCCAGGTCAGGCTGCCTGGGCTCCGGCCCCAGGGTGGGGCCCTTCAGATTATTCTCCAGGCCCCTCTTGGGCCCCTGAGGGTTGGAAACCCCATGTCACCTGGCACATCCCCTTTCATTCCTCCCTGTCCTGACCCTCCTAGAACCTGTAGGCCCAGCCATGCCTCCTCCTCCAAGAAGCCTTCCTGAACTCCATCTGCCCTCACTGACCTCAGCTTCCTCTGACTTTCGGCCTCCTTTTATGTTCAAACCTGCTGGAGGGTAATGGGAAAGGCATTGCTTTTGGCATCAGAACACCACTTCAAGTCCCAGCTCTGCAACATCCTTACGTGGGCAAGCCAGGCCTTCCACGGGCCTCAGTTTTCTCCCTGCCAAATGGGGATAAAAACCACTCCCTCTGGGGCCTGCTGCTAGGGGTTAAGTGAGATAACTGGATGGAAACCATCTTGGCAGATGGAAGCGATCCTATGACCACAGCGTTCAGCGATTTACTGTCTTGTCTAGGGTTATGCCCTGATTGTGTCTGGAGTGTTTGCTTTGTCTTCCTAACTTCCCAGTGGGCTGTCAGCCTGGGGCTGCCTGTGGGCAGGGCTGGGTATACATCAGACCCCACCCACCCAACATCCCTTCTCTTCAACTAACAAGTCATCCGCCTTCCCTCCATCCAACCCACCACTCTCCCCCATCCATCCTGCAAATATTATTCAGTGTCTTTTGCAGGCCAGGCACAAGGTTCCACTCTGGAGAAGAGCCCAGCTGGGTAAAACAAGGATTCCTCCCTCAAAGTCCTCCCCGTCTTGTGGGGAAATAGACATACAACAGATCAAGGCTCAGCCTATGCCTCAGTACCGAGAGAAGCATAGGCACCATGTGCTGGGGCACAAACATGGAGAAGAGAATTCTACCTGGGAAGGCTTCAGGGAGGAGATGGCTTTTGAGCTAGGCTTTGAAATCAAAGAGAGGACTGTGAGGAAGGGCATTCTTTGCTTAGTGAAAAGCAAGAATGTTGTCCCATCTCCACCTGCCAACCCCCACCAAGACTGCAATTTTCTTCAGAGCAGAGACATACTCTGTCTTCCACCTCCATGTGATCGAGCCCTAGGCCAAGTCAGAGGATTTATGACCATTTCACAGATGAGAAGACTGAGTCTCAGAGAGACGTGGCCTGGCTGGAGCTCAGAATCTAGCTTTGGGACCCCAACGCCTTGACATGTGGGGCCCTGAGGATAGCAGAGCAGCACCAAGGCAGTCACTGGCACCCTGGGTTAAGCATTGCCCTGTCCAGGATGGGTGGAGATAACCAACACTCACTGACTACCTTCTGTGCATCAGCTGCTCCTCATAAGTCAGCTTCTGAGCCTTCAAAAGAATCCTGAGAGCATTTATTATTACCCCCATTTTACAGATGGGGAAGCTGAGGTCCCACACCCCATCCAGGATGAAGCCAGGATCCCCCCTAGGTCTGTCTCTATGGCTCAGGTGTGTAACCACGGCCCTTTCTGCCTCCAGCAGGCCGAGGCCCTGCAGGTGCACCCACTTCACAGTGGGACTGGAAAGCAGGTGATCCTCGGTCAGCCTGGGCGCCCTTCTTCAGTTGCTGAGACCCAGAAAGGCCCGGCTTCAGGCTCTTAAATGTCAGTGTGAATGTAGAAACACTTTTTATTGAGTTGAAAAACAGAAAGTTCCCAAATTATTAGTTAATAAAAACAGCCTCCTGATGGCTGGAACTCAACAAACAGAAAGCCTTCTGACAATTACTCATTTCTTTGTTTTAACTTTCACTGTCTTTTTACTCAAATAAAGGTGTTTGGAAAAGAAGAGCTTCACTGTTTCTAGGCTCTGAAGTCAGAAAGGGAAAAAAAAAGGCTTGTTGACCTCCTTCATGCATTCTTCTCTGCGGGGAGGTGGGGTGGGGATGGGAGGTGGAAGGAACAAGCATTGATCGAGCACGTATTTGATGCTCAGCACTGTGCTGGGCACTTCCTCACAGCCTCTTTAATTTAATCTTCCCGCCAACCCATTTTACAGATGAGGAAACTGAGGCTCATGCAGGCTGTGCCTGGAGACAAAGCCAGTTTGCCAATAGGATGCTGTATACCCAGAGTCTACATATACACATGCACACACTCGAGTGCCTGTGCACAAGTATAAAAAGGTGGGAGTGGGGAGGATCCTGGACTGGGACTCAGGTGACCTGGGCTCTAGTCCCACCTCAACCACCAACTCACTGTGTGAGTCTAAGAAGTCTGAGAGTCTCTGCAGCCCCTGCCAGCCCTGGCATGGGTGCTGTCTCCAGGAAGCCTGGTACCCTAGTGCTCCAGGCTGCCTCTGATGCTCCTCCTCCCCACCCCATAGGATGTCTGCCCTCTCACTCCCCTGAAAAAGCCTAACTTACACTGGGGGCCCAGGAGCAGGCAGAAGAGTTTTAGCTGGTGCCTTCTGCTCCCCACTCCCATCCCTTGTACCTGACATTCCTACAAAAAGCACTGGGGTGGGGTTGGAACCCAGCCTCCTGGGATGCTGCAGAGCCCAGGCACTAAGAGTTTGTTTTGGAGCTGGAGACACAGAACTGAAATAGGTTCTACCACTCACGGGTCACATCTCCTGGGGCCAGCAACTCAATTTCCCTGAACTGAGGTCTCCATCTCCATGGGCCCACTGATGGAGTCTGTCTCCCATGGTTGCTATAAGAACAGGCAATAATGAAGTGCCTAGCACATAGTAAGCACTCTATAAACTGGTTATGATGATTAATATTAATTACCTTCTGGGGGTGAGGGTTGTGCACTGGCTCAAAGGCACAACCTGAGGGGCTGCAGTGTCAGGGATCTCTCCCAAGCTCCACTTGGCGAAGCTGCAGGCCTGAAGGGAGGGAGCTCTCTGCAGTTCACAGGAAGGCTCCCAAAGCTGCGCCTGTGCCCCCATGTCCCTGGGGCTGCTACCAGTTGGGGAGGGGTTCCCATACCTAATGGGGCCGAGCAGTGTCAGGCCACAGAGCCTAGAGGCCAAGGGGTGGACCCTGCCTCTAAGTGGCCGGAGAGAGCAGCGGGCACTCACCAAGCAGCTGGACGCCCCGTGTGAGGCCGTAGACGTCCACCAGGGCCCAGAGCGGGTCAGCCGTGCGGACCCCGTTGAAGAAGAGCATGGCGCCTGAGTCGTTGATGCGGTAGAAGACGCGGCCCTTCTTGTCCACCCAGAAGGCGATGATGTTGCCCTCATTGGCAAACTCCTCAGGCAGTGCCTTGGCCCAGAAACCGCTCTGGGACACCAGGTCAGGGCAGGCGTACTTAGGCAGCGAGTCAGGGTGGATGCGGGACGGGTCCTTGCTCGTGAAGCCCAGCCGCAGGGCCCCGCTCCAGCAGCACTGCTTCTTGGTGATCTGGTGGCAGGGGGTCAGCCTCAGCCCAGCCTCTCCCCCTGTGTCAGTCAGACCAAGGGGAAGGGAGTGCGCCCTTCCCTGCAGACCACCCTCAGGAGACGCCCAGCAGGTGCCCCACTGCCAGCCTGCCCACCGTCCGAGCTGCTTTCCCTCCCCCAGGAGCCTTGCCGCAGCCTGGGGGAGCCCGCGGTGCCCACAGCCACTGCCTCCCCCATTCTTTCTTTGCCACACAGGAAAGGTTGAGAAAGGAGTAAGGCAGAGGGAAGGGTGGCAGAGAGAGAAAAGAGAAGGCGCAGGGTGTGGCAAGGGTGGTAACAGCTGGCAGTGACCGAGGGAGAAAGTTCAGAGGCCCTGGGGACACAGAGAGGGCGAGCGGGGAGGGAGGCCCACCTTCAGCCTGACTTGCTCGTAGATGAGGACCGGGCGGTTACTGAAGGTGATGGCATTGCAGAAGCTGGCCTGCCTCTTGACGGCCTTGTGGCTGAGGTCCATGAGGATCTGGGAGCCCTTGGTGTGTGGGTGGAAGAGCAGCGGCGTGGCTGGGAGCCCCCCACCCGGCAGCACTGGCGGGCAGTGCTTCTGCTTGTGGTGGCATCGGTGGGAGGTGACGGGGAAGGGACCCCCGATGGAGTCTGCAAAGGAACAGGCCACAGCGTCAGAGAACTTGATGGGTCCAAGAGCCGGATGAGGGTGCCGTAGGGAAGGGCAGAGGGTGGGCATAGGAAGAAACCACCCACAGCCCAGTATTCCACCATCATCGCCCCCACCCCCACTGCCTCCTTTTACCACCACCCTTCTCCAGCTACCATCCATCCTATTTCCCACTTCACTATCTACCACCATCCACTACTACCATCCATCTCTCTTCACCATCACTTCCCACCACCACATCCACCATTGCCATAAATCACTATTTACCTCTACTGTCCACACCATTCACTGTCACTACCACCGTCATTTATCTATTGATTTACTTTATTCAACAAATATTCATCAGGTATCTGCTGAACACCAAGTCCTGTCCTAGGCACTGGAGATATGACGTGAAACATACATGGATCCTGGCCTCAGGAAGCCAACAGTCTACAGAGGGAGATAGACATGGGCAGAAATCACAAGACAAAATGGCACACTAGGCACCAGAAAGACCAGCCAGCAGGTCACCTCCCAGGAAGGCCTCCTGGAGGCAGGGGAGGCATTGGAGCTGGGCTGACGAGGTTGGGCTGCAGTGGACACCTGGCCGGAGGCTGCCCCTGAAGGCCAGGAAGGTGGGTGGGACGGCCTCTACAGCATCAGTCCGAGGGCCATGTCCATCACGTCCCTCCCACAGGCCACAGGCCACCTCCCACCACCGCAGGCTCCCTCCCCACTGGGCATGGCCTTTGCCTGCAGCATGGTGGACACAGGCGGGCTCCACTTCACCCAGGATCTGCCTCAAGAACCTCCAGCCGGGGAGGCACGGAGCTTTCTTCTACAGATAGGTCTACCACATTCAAAGATGAAATGCAGTACAGGACGGGGCTTGGTTGAGGAGAAGACAGTTTACAAACATGTGCAGTTGGCATCCAGGGGGCAGGACAGGTAGAGGAAAAAAGCACTGGGCTAGGTGTTGAGTGGCTTGTATCTGTCATTACCAGGCTGTGTGACCATGGGGAAGCCACTCCCCCTCTCTGGCACTATGGGCGACTTCTACCCAGTGGCTCCAAGACAAGTGGCAGCAGAACTGGCAGCATTAACACACAGCCTCAGGGGCTGGGGGCTCAGAGAGGTGTTCACTTTGTCCCCAACATCTATGTCCAGCCATCAGGAAACAGAGCCCTGCCACCCTGGCATCTTGAGGAAAGAGAGCCGTGAAGGATGGAGAAGGAGTAGGGGAGTAGAAGGCCAGAAAATGTGACAGAGGCCTGCTGGGGTGTTTCAAACTTTGGTCCCTCTGAGGCAGGAATTTAGTAATGCAGGGAGCTGGGTCAGATCCTTCCACTCCCTAAAGTGGGAGGAGGGGCTTCCAGGAAGGACACAGAAGACAGGGAGGGAGGGGAAAGGGACAGAGGAACCCTGGAAGCCAGGGAGCCCAGACCTCTGGGCAGGCCGTGATTGCATCTCTGGGAGGAGGGGCTTCCAGGAAGGACACAGAAGACAGGGAGGGAGGGGAAGGGGACAGAGGAACCCTGGAAGCCAGGGAGCCCAGACCTCTGGGCAGGCCGTGATTGCATCTCTTTGCATTCTCGCTCCCTCTTTCCCCGGAGGGCCCCAGACACCGGTCTCCTCAGCCCGGGGCCTCCCTGGAGTAGCTTCCCACATGCGGGTCCCCTAGTGGGGATGGCATGAGAAGGAGCTCGCCCTGCTCTCAGCAAGGAGACAAGACCGAGACCGCTGAATGGTGCAAGCTGTCCAGCTGTGAGGGCTGGCATTGCTCAGGGGAGACCCAGACAGTCCAGGAAGCCTACCTGGGAGAAGCTGAGTGGCCTCTGGACATGCAGAGGAGGGGAGGTCATTCCAAGGAAGTGGACAGCTGGGGCGAAGTGCAGAGAGTGACACTGGCTACAGGTGCCCTGACTGGAAAAGATGCCCACTGAGCCAGGCCAGCCTCAGACACAGCTGACTCTTGGTTTAAAAGAACACCTGCTGGTTCTGAAAGGTGACATTACACATTGTTTAGGGGGATATTCATATGTAGAAATGAAAGGATAAAGGGGAAAAAAATACCTGCTGTGTGAATGGATAATAAATTATGGTATATCTATACAATGGAATACTACTCAGCAGTAAAGAGCAGTGAAGTGTTGATATGAATAACAACATGGATGAATTTCAAAATAATCATGCTGAGTGAAATAAGCCACATTAAAAAAAAAAAAAAAGGAATACACAATCCACGGAGCAACTACAGGGGCTCCATTTCCTTCAAAACCCCTCCTCCTTCCACTGTGTCCCACTTTTATCAAATTCTAGGAAGTGCAAGCTATCGTAATCAAAAGCAGGTAAGTGGGTGCCTGGGATGGTGGGGGAGAGAGGAGGCATGACCAAGGGGCACAAAGCAACTTTTGGGGTGGCAAACCTGTGTTCATCATGGTTGTGGTGATGATTTCATGGGTGTATACAATGTGAAAATACACCAGATTGTCCACTTTAAACACATGCAGTTTAGTGTATGTCAATTATACCTCAATAAAGCGGTGTTTTAAAACCTGTTGAGCCCAGCTGCTGATTACAGCCTGCCTTTGGGGTTCCCCCTCCCCAGCTTCCACCCAGAACCCATGGACCAACTTCAGGGTCTCAGCTCCCTTCAAAATGCTTGCCCTCCTTCCCATGCACCCCACCTGGGATCCCGGGGCCCTGGGTAAAGGTCCAGAAAACACTGGACCTTTACTGGGCAAATATGGTGGAGACACCCAGGGGTAGGAGATGAAGGACATCCCCAATGCCACCCCACAGGGAGCACCCAAGGGTGCAGATCTCCTGCCAATTCCAGTGTTGAGTGAGGGTTGGATACGGGGCAGCACAGGCCCAGCACACTGGCTGATAGCAGAACAGGTGGAGAAGGCAGGGTGGGGGTACCCTGGTCCTGGGGGCACAATGTGCTTCCAGACATGTGGCCTTCAAAAGACACACTCATGTGCGCACACATATACCCGTGAGCACATGATGGTGGAGAAGGCAGGGTGGGGGTACCCTGGTCCTGGGGGCACAATGTGCTCCCAGACATGTGGCCTTCAAAAGACACACTCATGTGCGCACACATATACCCGTGAGCACATGACAGTAACCCGGACCCTAGGAAACACAGACCCTGAGACCAGGAACCATACATTTACATAAGCACTGGGCACACATGCATGCATTCATGCACACATGGATGCACAAAACGATACACATAAAATACATGCCTGCCACACAGGGGCCATACACGTCTAATAACAGCAGCAATTTGTCAAGCACTTACATAGCTCTGAACTGGGAGTTTTACATGCATTTACGTTTCACCCTTACAGCAAACTTAGGAGGGAGGAAGGGACATTATCAACCCATTTTACTAATGACACATCTGAGCCTCGGAGAGAATAAGTGGATTGCCCAAGGTCACACAGCTGGTAGGAAAGGGATCTAGGCAAAGCCAACGATCTTACTCCAGGGCCTGAGTCATTAGCAATTAAGCGTTAACAGCCAGGAAATCATGAGTCTGGTGTGCTGAATACATTTATTTGTTTATTTTTAATTGACACATATTGATTGTACATATTTATGGGTACAGAGTTATATTCCAATACATGTATACAACACGTGATGGTCAAATTTGTCATTTCTTCGTGATGAGAGCATTTGAGCTCCTCTCTTCTGGCCATTTGAGAAGATACAACAAATTCTTGTTAATTATAGACGCCTAGCAGTACTGTAGACCAGCAGAACTTATTATTCCTATCTAGCTGTGATTTCGTATCCCTTAACCAACTTCTCCCTATCCCTGCTCCTCCTTCCCTTCCCAGCCTCTAGTAACCACAATCCTACTCTCTACTTCCATAAGATTGACTTTTCTTTTTTTAGTTCCCACATATGAGTGAGAACACGTGGTATTTATCTCTCTGTGCCTGACTTGATTTTTTTTGATACACATTAAAATATAATCATCACGTGTAATATGTGAAAAAAATGTTCATCCAGGTACCCCCTAAAATCATCTTACCTAGCACACTGGGGGATACATGGCATTCTGTTAAGTTGCCTCCCTGATACACATGTGCAAGCCATGTCCTTGGCCCTCGTACTTTGCCGGTGGGGTGCGGCATGGGGCAGCCAATGTAGAAAATGGTTTGGCAGCTTCTTATCAAATGAAACACAGCTGGCCGGGTGGCTCAGTCGGTTAGACCACGGAGTTGTATCACCAAGGTCAAGGATTTAGATCCCCATACTGGCCAGCCGCCAAAATAAAAGTAAAAAAGATAGAGGGGCTACCCAGTTAGCTCAGTTGGTAAGAGTGTGTTGTTAGAATGTGAAACACCGATCACACAACCCAGCCCTCATGCTTCTGGGCATTTACCCAAGAGAAATGAAAACACCTGCATGTAATGACCTGTACGTGAATGTATAGCAGCTTTATTCATAATAACTCAAAACTGGATACAACTCAAACGTCCTTCAACTGGAGAATGGACAAGTAAAATCTGGTACATCCACACAATGACCACTACTCTGCAATAAAAATCAACATGACTACTGGTAGCCACAACAACAGGGATGAATCTCAGAAGAAAGCTTAGTGAAAGGAGCCAGATGAAAAGACTACATGCTGCATGATTCCATCTGTACATCATTCTGGGAAAGGCAAAACTGGAGAGAAAGATGGGTGGATATCAGAGATGGGTGATATCAGAGTTGGGGGAGGGGACAAGCTCTGACTACAAAGGGGCACAAAGGAAGTTTCTATAGGGATAGAAATGTTCTGTATCTTGATGGGGTAGTTGTTACACAACGTGTACATTTGTCAAAATTCACCAAATTATATACTTCAAAAGGGTGAATTTTATTGTATATACATTATACCTCAAAAAGCAACAATAATTAACAAGCCAGCTCTTCATTAAGATGGAGGGAAGAGGGGCTGGCATTTCTGACCACCTCAGCACCCACATCACGC